TGAAGTCGTCAGCAGCCAGCCGGGCATTGTCGATGCTCAGGTGGATGGCTCCGTTTTTCTTGGTGGCTTCCTGAATCTGGAGACAAAAAACATCGTAATGGATGAAAATCAAACTTTATTGATCCACATTAAGGTGCTTTTATTTTGTAATTACCGATGCAGTGCAGGTCTTTTACTTTGAAGAGTGTTTGTACTACAGGAAACACATGTTTCGTAATCAAGATAAATACTTGGCTGCCAGTGAAAGTCAGCAGGGGGCGGGGCCACAAGATTACTGATTACTGCCTCGCCCCCTGCCAGTTCTAACCAATCAGACAGAGCAGTGATACTTTCCCATTTTCCATTTTTATTCACTTTTCATTTTCCAGATATTTCAGAACTTTTAATTAACCAAAAATTCCCAGATTGTCAGAGATGACTGAGGTTCAGATCAGAAAAGTAAAACCTCCTCAGACTGTGCTGGTTCACCCAGTTGGAGACTTCCTGCGTGATTAGATTTGACAGTTGTATAAATGCATTATTTTACTTTTAGTTTGTATTAACTGAGCTCCAGCGTGTAAATCTCAGGTTTGAACTGAAGGTTTATGTTCTCTTATCTAATTTTAGATCAGACATCCTTCATTCCTCTGATTTCAGCAGCCACCTCTCCGGTTAAACGGGAGATTTGCAACCTTTGTCTGCAGCTCTTTCTGGGTTTTGTTCGGATGCGGCGGAAAAACATTAACAAAGTGTTTCTGTGAGAAACAAACTGAAGATGAGTGAGAAGTAAAGCCTGGATATGGCCTGTAGAGGGCGCTCTGTGTCACAGCTTGGAGAGAGTGTAGAAAACTGCAGAGGAACAGATCCTGAAGATCACGATGAACGACGTTCAAAGGAACAGGACGAAGCTCGCAGTGACATCATCATTCAAAATAACGTAAACATGAAACAAACAGGGTTAAAAATGGAGGTGAGAGCACCTGTGGGAGGACGAGGAAGCTTTACCTTTGCAGTGATGTCGCTGATGGTGACGAAGAAGGTGGTGTAGTCCCGGGTGGAGGGGCCGACCTTGTTCTCCAGAAACTGCCTGATCTTCAGCTCCAGCTCGGCGTTGGCCTTCTCCAGCTTGCGCACCTTCTCCAGGTAGGAGGCCAGACGGTCGTTCAGGTTCTGCATGGTGAACTTCTCGTTGCCGATCAGGCT